CCTGTTGTATATGCCAAAACAGATATATACAAATTGAACATATTTTTAATTATCAATATTAGTAAGTAGGCCAGTGAAACACTGGCCTACTTCATAAGTATCATTAATTAATTTTAAATAAGCTAAAGTAGCAAAATTTAAATTATATTTAAGGCTGCTCGGACAACGTGAAGAGAGAAGTATAAGAGTCTTTGATTAGAGTACGTAAATATGAGTACGCTTACTAAAGAAGCTCGCGTATTATTTGTGTTTATTTTTTAATAAAAAAAACTTTGTAACGTATATTCTCGTTTTTTTATGATTAGTTACAGTATTTTTCTTTTATATCGAGTCCGATCTGAAACAGTTTAGTTGATGGTCTTTTAACCACTCTTGGTTAAGGGGCATACGATAGTTTAACATAATTCATCTTCAATCCTGGAGACCTTTTTCAGTTGAGATTGTTTTTTTTTCTTCAGTTTTTGTGTTTGTTTAACAGAGTCCATATACCAACAATAAAATAGAAAACGAAACAATATCTGAAGTAACAATTAAAAAATTTAAAAAATTAATAGAGAAAGTTGAATTTAACATTAATAAATTAAAAAACAAAGGAAAGCCATTCAACATCAACAAGCACCGCAGAAAAATTAAGAAGAAAGTCATTTTTGAAGAAAAATAGACAAAACAATCCCGAAACAATTTTGACGGATTTTTTGAAAATCCAGATTGCGAATTGATCAAACTTCTACTCAGCTATAGTATAATATCAAATATATATAGCATATATTGTTTACGAATACGTTTTAGAATAACGATTATACCTAATAGTCTGCATTTCGGCTTAAACTCGTTAACATGTTTCGTTGTCTGTAGCCCCGGATCGGTGTGATTATCGTCGTAAACGTAAGGGAAAAAAAATCGTACATATAGACGTAGGTAGGCCGAGAAGGGGTCGCGGTCGACTTCCGGCCATTTATGCGCGTCTAATATTCGCTCGAACCCCTCGAAGGCCGACAACGATATTCCGGAGCGGACTGAGTTCCGTTCGAAGTCAAGATAATATAATTATTGTGTTATCGTCCGAACCGCTGTATTAACCACTGTACGTAATTCTATTGGACTTAGCTACGATGATGACGAGGGACTTGCTTTAAGGATAGGCGGGGGCGACTCGCTGGAGTTTTGTACGGGAACCAATAGTTAGCCCTACCTAAAATTAATAGATCACCGATGAATTTATCGAAACTGTTTAGACCGCGTAGTTCGGTGCAGTAGGATATTTAAGGACGAAAGGAAATTTTAGAGAAAAATTTCCTTCCCCTGACATTGTTTTATTAGTATCTATTATTTATATGCCTACTAATATTTGAATACAATTTTTTTTAATTTTTGGTCGGAAAAATATTAATTGTCAATATATCAAAAACCATAGGTATATATATATATTCTCAATTAAAACAGAACTTTTCCGATGAATGAGGTTTCGATTCGTACTTCGACAGTAAATAAATAAATAATATTCACTAATAAATTATTTATATCTATAATTATTTGATTTAATTCGTAATTTGAAGAAAGACTGAATTATATATGAATTAAATATAATTAATATAATTAAATACAATTAAATTAGATAAAAATTTATATTTTTTAACCTATAGGTACACGAAACACGTTATACCATTAGACCACAATATCCAAATTCAATAAATTTCTCTTTGACAAAATCTTATATACCTACGTCACTGATTCATTGAAAACGAATTTAGTTTTTTTTTTAAATCGTTTTGTTCGATTAAAATCCGATAATTTATTGAAAATCGTAATTGAAAGCTGTAACGGAGCGGCGATTTTAATTTTCTGCGGGAGGTTATGATGCGTGGTGTAGTATTTATATTAATGCGTTTTTTTTTTATTTTTTTACGCACTGGTATTGAATTAATTATTAGTTTTATTTTACACCTGAATGGTGAATGAAACTTGCATAACTTGCAAAAAAAAAAAAAAAAGGCGAAAAACGAAGAACCCTTGACATCAAAATGGCCGTACAGAACGCCTTTAAATCGTTTCGATTTGACAATTATTAATGGGAAAACACAAACACAAAGAATAACCGACGACCCGAATTATATTATCAGCATTATTTTATACTGCAGAATTTAGGATTTTTTTTTTTAATTTTCTTTTGAAAGGGTTAATCGTAATAAATAGTTATATTAACACTACCTGTATAAGGTGTTTAAAATGAAACGTTTTTGAATCAGATTTGGTAGTTATATTACCAACGGCATTTTAAAATATGTTTAACCGAAATTCGCTCAGAATCGTTTTTCGTTAATAGTGGTTTATCGTTGCATGTAGATATGAATTAAATAACTATATTTATCCTACCTTTTAAAATTCCCACCTAAAATAAAAGCTCATTCATTTTTAAATTTATAACATTCAAATTGATATACTTTACACCATAATTTGGTCACTGTCGTAGAAGGGAAATTAGGATATCGGGAAGGTATTGGATACAGAGTAATTTATAGTTTATATACATTGGGTTTATCATTTGACTTCTGTTTTGATGATAAATCGACAATCAAATTAGAAATCTAATGTATTTTGATGTTTCTCAAAATGTTCCTTTTAAAAATCTCGTCACCGCGGTCTGATTGCTTTTCAATGCATCTGACGGTCAAACAACAAACATATGATGATTGGAGCACTGGGTGATAGAATTTATAAGGATTAAGGTTTATTAATTTATTGTCAATAATCAATTCGGTATTCCATACCAAAACTTTCAGTCAGGGGCAGATCTAGGGTAAGATAACAAGGAGTGGGAATAATTTTGAAAATGCATTTATGACGAGCTTAATGATAAATAAAGCTAGGAGTATAATGTAGCTAAGAATATATTGAAGAGTGAACGATGAGGGCGATCACCCCCCTACTTTCAGTATGTCTACGAGAATTGGGAGAATGTCACATTCCCTTCTGGTTTTGTCCCTAACTGAAGAAAATGATAAATCATTGCGATCAAAAACGATTCTGAGTGGAGACCGGTAGACTAAGAGTTTATTTTCGTGTATAGCCATTTTTTCGCTCTATAGACAAATTTTCGGGAATCTAGACAAATGATCTAGACATGTTTCAAACAAAGTATAAGATGGGAAAAGTATACATCTTTTAATAATATAATGCCCGATTTGTACTAACCACATTAATCTAATAATTAGTAATTTTATTATTTATTCAATTCTTTAAATTAATAAGGTTATTTAATAATTTATTAAATAATTAACTAAACCATACTTTTACTATAATGTTAGTAGGTAAATCATGTTTAAAATAAATTCAAAATTGTATGTGCTTAAACTCAACTGTCTATATTTACCAGGTTCAAACAAATATAAGAACCAAAGAAATAGAACCTAGGAAAATACCAATATTTATAAATAAGTATTAAACCAAAAATGTATTTAACCATAAATTTATGTCAAATACAAGTTGAAAATAAATATAAATAATTAAGTTTCAATTTATTTTTATTTTTACAATTATTGATTACATTAATGTTTCAGTATTTTCCAGTTGTCTACAAGATCTAAACTGTTTATTATTTTCTTAAAAAAAAATTGGTAGTTGATGGTTCTTAAAAGTGAAAACAAAAAAAACCGTTAATACATTATTAATAATCTTATAATTTTTTTGAATTATTTTACATTTAGATAAAAAAAAGCAATAGAACTAAATATTTAATTTATATACATCATATGAAAAGAAATATAAATAATATGATTTCTAGTCCGGTTTTTTCTCTTAACATTAATACAAATTTTATAATATACAATATTATGTGTTATTTTTTTAATAAGCCATATTATGTATAGATTATAAATAGATTCATATAAGCAAACAAAAATATTAATTTACACAATCACAATATCAACAGGAATGTGGATAATATTTTGTAATATACTAATATAATTGTAATACAAACTAATAATTAAAAGTAAAATTATTAACGCGGTAAAAAATTAAAAATCAATACATAAAGCACACAATTAATAGGGTAAAATAATAATAATAATGCGGTTAAATTTTCATTTGTATAGTCATATTAAAACATAATATTATTATAGTATAGGTACTGACAAAAAAAAAAAAAAAGATAATATTATTCTTATATAATATATAAGTATATACAAGTCTATTGATTATAATTTGGTTAGTATAATAAAATAATTCTTTTTTTTTTAGTAACAAGTCGAATTAAAAAAAAAAAAAAAAAAAAAAACAAAATAATAATATAGGTAATAATGTAAAGTTATTACTTTAAAATAACAGGTGCTTCCGGATAATGGAATCGAGTATGATATAAGTAAATATTTTAATGTAGCAGTCATAATATTATTACTCGTTGATAAAAAATAAAAAAGTTATATCGAATAGGTACTTATAAAAAAATAATAATCGCTTACTCGGCGACACATAATTATATAATGAGTTATTTAGTATCTTAAAATGTAATAATATTATAGTTTATATACGTATAAAATATAGAATATAATATTATAATTAAGTATAACTTTTTTTTTTTTATTATTATAATTATTAATTTTTTTTTTTTTTTAGTTTATAATATTAAAGAATATTATTTAAAGTCTACGATCGTAATAGTAATAGTAATATTATGTACAGACTTCTGTATATCAAGAAGTATAATATCATATATATAACTAAAATATAGATAGAGAATAATAGTTAAAAAAATAATAATAATAATAAAAATAACGAAGGTGAAACTATCGTTAGTAAAAAAATATCATTGCACTGTATCGCGTGTAAAAATGGAATCGTAAAAAAATAATAATAATATTTTAAAATAGAGTGGATATTGAAAGATATATCTCGCCCCGATCGATCTCCGTACGAGCCTCCGGCGCGATCCTCGGTGAAGATCGCGCCGGAGGTTCGCCGCGATGCTCGAGAGCAAGTACCGGGTACGCGCGCCGTAATCATCGTCACTGCAGTCCGTCGGCGGCGGCCGAGGTCTGGTGGTGATGCACGGACATGACCGAGGGCGGGTACCAGTGATGGTGAGGCTCTGGCCCGTGCACGGCCTGTTCGTATGATGGCGGCGGCGGCAGCGGCATGGCCTGCGCCGTGCATGCGTTGTTGTACATGTCCACGGCCACCGCGGAATTGTACGCTGTCGAGTAATGGTGCAGCGTGGCGGACGGGCCCTGGTGCTGGTGTTCGACGAGCAGCTGGCCGCGGTGTACGCCGCCGGGCGGTGACGGCGACGAGTACGTACTTGTCGGGCTGTATTTCATCATCTTGGCCGTGATCATGGGCGGCGAACAGCCGTTATTGTCCACGTAATGACCGCCGTAACCCATGGTCGACGTGGTCACGGGTACCGCGAGGGCAGGAGCACCGCCGCCGGCTGTCATAGCCACTGCAGCGGTCGTACTGCTTGTCGATTCCACTTGGCCTGTGAACAGGGGGGGGAAATACGTTAGGTACTGCGTTGTTAATAGGTATATTTTTCCAAATGTTCGTTTGAAAAAAAAAAACACTTCTGGCCGTCAAATTTCAGGAGGCGACTGTACCGTAGCCAAGACCAAGGTGGATTGATTTATCCACCGTGGGCATATCTAAAAGCGGGCACTATCGAACAGTTCGAATACCGTGACCCGAATAGAACTTTTCGTTTTTTTTTTTTTTCTGCGTTTAAAAGTCCGAGATGAGCTGCTCGCGCTCGTAGCTTACCGTATTTCGAACGCGCACACGTCCGTCGGCAAAAAAATTGTGTTGCCCGAATGCGAGCTAATGTCGGATTTTAATTGAAAATGAACTGCGATCCGTTAGCAAAACCACGTCGGATAGGTAACTGGGGACCAAAATATGCGTCTGTGACAGTCGAGGTGACCGATTGGAGCGACCGGTTTTGACTATCGGTAGTGTGAAAAACGACCGAACAGATATTATCGTAATACAACGGACTACTCGATAGTACGATAGTCGATAGTTTTCAGAGTTTTATTGTTTTGTATTCAGTTTTGAAACTACCGTCGTTAGTCGAAAAGTACCCGAATAATACTATTGAACAGTTGAGCTATTCGAATAGGTTTTTCACTAAAAAGACTTTGCGACGTTCGGCCGTAAACCAGATAACTGCTGTTATAATGATATGGTCGCGTGGCTGTTTAGGCCACAACACGCCGGCCGTGTTCGAAATCGCCGAAGTAATGATATTATTGTTATCGATGAGTTTTGACATACGAGGGCTAATCAAAAAGTATCGAGACTGACAATATTACTCGGAAACCGAGCGTTGAAGAGCAATACGATTCGTAAACCTGACTTCTATGACTTATACTGAGCACATCTATTCGTATAAAATCTCTATAAACTTCTTCGTTTTGATTTGACGATATTTTTCTAAAATCTGTTTTTCACGTTTGGCGATTTCGTAACGAATCCAAATGAAGCGGAACTCGCTGCCACTCGAGGGCACATTTTCAGTTTTTCAATTGACATTTAATGGCGAAAACCGCGAAATGTTGCATCCCTCTGGAACTGGAAAAAAATGCAGACGAATTTTCTAAAATCTCCAAATCTGTCAGGTTACTCTTCTTTTGGGTTTATTACAAAATCGCCAAACTCGAAAAATATATTTTACAAAAATACCAGTGAAATCAAACCGAAGAATTTTATAGAGAAGCAATAAAAACAAATGTACTCAGAAAAAGTCATAGAAGCAAGTGATACCAATCCTACTGCTCTTCTTCGACGCTCCTTTTCCGAATGATACTACCAGTCTTGATACTTTTTGATTAGCTCTCGAACACGTCGTCTCTCGGCGCGTCTGTACTAATATTATAATTTAGGTACCTAATAATTGGGGCTGTGAATTTTTAGGGAATTTTTTTTTCAACCGATTGTAAAACGTAACTTTCCAAGTACACAATTTGATCACGTGGCAACAAATTCATTCATTCGCTTTTATTTTGCATTTTTTAACGTTTTTAATTTTTAAAATCGTTTTCGGACTTTTTAAACCGCACTGTTTTACACGGTATGTATATGATAAATTTATATTTTGTAAAATATTATTTTACACGAGCTGTATTATAATTTTTTTTCAAGACGTTTTTTTTTTATTAAATGAATGCATAAATGTTTTATGTATACCTACATAATACACTGATGTCAGTAACATCAGAATAAATGTACAAATTAAACCAAAGACCGTTTTTTGTGTATTTTTTTTTAATGTTTTTCACAGCGTCAAATTCGCAGCCCTGGTTTGTAATCGATAGTAAATATTAAATTATTGTGTTATTATGTAACGTCGATACTATAGTATGGCGGGAGAGAGGGACGGGACCGATAACGCTATTTCGATTCTCGGAATACGGTTATCAGCAGACTGAGTTATTTTCGGTACGTACGAAAACAACAAAATATATCGTACCGGAGAGCTTACTATATTATAGTGAGATAATGCCGAACACTGTAAACGAAAATACGGCGCGGTTATTACGGTCAAATCTGGCGAATGCTCTTATCGATAGCCATTACCCCCGGGATTGTGGATGTGTTCCCTCGCTGAAATCATTTTATACATTTTTTTTTTTTTTTTTTTGTCAAGCAATTGTATGATAACACACGCGAGTGTAACGTCCAATGTCAATAACGATAAAACTTAAAGTAATACGGTTTTCGACGGAGTATATTATACCGCACTAATGAACATTCTAATGTTCACGACGATAAAATATATTGATTTTGAATTATTAATTGTTTGTAAATAAGTTGACAGTTTCGTAGGGACGCTATTGAAATAGAAACGTTGCACTACCTCACCCTGTCCCCCCTCCCCTACTACCAGAGCAAAGCCCTACGTGATCGCTCCGAGTTACGCCACTGCTGCCATTATTCCGTTCGCCGGTTATCAGCAAAGCCGTTCCGTATTATCGTTCATAGCACACTTCGGAGAACTCGACCGCTATCACTAATGAACGGATTTCCGTCGTTCTGCATCCGCGGACAAAACGATCGGTTCTAAAATGTTAGTTTTGAAGACGTTTTGTTTGAGAAACATTTTGAAACGGTTAACAGCCATTAGTATACCGCGCGGAACTGTATTACGAAATAGTGCAATGTATTGTAATACGATATGATGGCAGGGCTGCCATTTATTCGAGACTAAAAATCGGGACATTCATAATGGCGCGTACTCAAGGGGGGGGGGTGTTTTGGGCATTCAACCCCCACCCCCACACCCCGAAATGTTTGGTTTTTATATGGTTATTTAATTATTTCGTTTTAATGATACATTATCGTTCTAATTTCCAACAGTTACAATAATTATAATAACACCGCCCCCCCCCAAAAACTTTTTTCCGCGTACGTCCTTAAATTACATCGATAACCACGTCCGACTCGGGTCACTCTCGTAGTACATTAAGATGGGCTTTCTACTATACGGGACCTGCGGTTTAATACTTTAAAACGCCAGAGCGGCCGTGAAAATTAGCGCGATAAAACACGATGACGATGACGATGATGATAATAATAATAATAACGCTCAATGCTCACCGGAATCTCTCTTGGACTTTTTCTCTTTCATGCGCCGGTTCTGGAACCATATTTTGATCTGTCTCTCGGTCAACCTCAGCGTCCTGGCCAAATCGATGCGCCTTGCCCGGTTCAAGTACTGGTTGGCAAATTAGGGTGACGTGTCCCCGGGAGGCCGTACAGTTCCGGGCATTTATATTACCGACCGCGTGATTTCGGAATTAACGCGTAATTGTATGC